ATGGTGTAAAAAATAGAAATTTTTTTTATCAATATATTTAAATGTCCATGCACATGGTGTATTCATCACATTTCACATTTTAACTCTCCATTTAACATTTCAAAGAATTTGAATATTAATTAATCTCATAAAAAAATGGCCTAAATAAAATAAATGTGCGTGATATAGTTTATAATATAAGATGTATCTTCATGAATAACTACCCGTATAAAAAAATTTCGTTCCCCAACGGTTTGCCTTGTAGAACAACATTTTTATGTTAAAATAAACGAGTGTTCCCGTTTTACCCCATTTTAGGAGTGAAAAAATTAATTTTTTATAAGTTTCACCTGATTTCGTATATTTAGACATTGAGACGAAGAGAATGAGTGGTCAAACTTGAAAATCAGACAACTTTGATTTTTCGACCCCAAAAAATGGCAAGTGGTACCCCTTTCCATTTTTTTAGGCCAAAAAATAAAGGTACTCCGATTTTGATAATTGAGGGCTCATTCTCTTCGTCTTGATGCGTAGAAATACGGAATCAGGGCACAGCCTGGAAAAATTCACTTTAACACCCTCAAAAAGGGGTAAAACTAGTTACAAATTACAAATAATCATCCCCTTGACTTTAAACCCCTATAACTCATGAATGGACGGTCCAATAACTGTTTTTAGAGACGTTTTGGAAACCTTAAAGTCTAAGCTATCTAACAGTATCCATAGATTCATAGAAAAAAATTCATTTCACCCTTAAAATAGCTAAAATATAAAAAAAAAACACATTTTTTTGAGAGTTTGCCAAGTATTTTGGTAATTTTGAGGGTGAAATAAATAAAGTTTGACCACTCATTCTCTTCGTCTTGATGTAAAGAAATACGGAATCAGGTCAAACTTATATAAAATCAATTATTTCACTCTGAAAATGGGGTAAAACGGAAACTTGCTTTAATTCTATCATACAAATTTTGTTCTTCATAGTACCACAAGGGGAACCTTTGGGGAACGAGATTTTTTCATACGAGTCATCAATTATTATGCTTACTATATAAATATAGATAATAATCATAGAAATAGTAAGCATAATTTTTTCCATATTCCAAAATACTTACTTTTATAAAGAATTTACTTTTCATTACACGGTCCAAAAAAAAATATTCAATTCCTTTAAGAAAATTTGAAATTTAATATCTTTTTAGTGAATTCCGACTGTCGTCTGATTCGTTTCAAACCATCAAAATCTCTGAGACAATATTTAAAGTTGTCAACTGAGATCATATTTGTTAAAATCAAAGGAAAGTGAAATGGAAAAAAATGGTAAATAAAAAAACATATTTTCCTATATAAATATTAATTGCACCTTTCATCTTCGAATATTGATTTTTCGTGTACTCGCCACATATCAATATCATTCTCTGCATCAATAGTTGGTTTAGTGGAAGCAAATATTGTTGGAGAGTATTTGATTTTTATTTGCAAAGCAGAGTATGCTCTTTATAAATAGTAATATTAATATACATATATATCTAGTACATTTATTGACAATTACGACAATATTTTGTGTAGGTTGTTTTGATATTTTTTAGATTGAAATTTTTTCGTTTTTGTATTCAAACAAGATCTTGATTATAAATCGTAGCGACGAGCCGAGGTCGAGCCAAGTCAGCGAAAAAGATAAATGGTGAATGCCAGAAATCCCAATGGTGCAAGTGTAGTTCACCACACGATGGGTCGTCCGGAAGAGATCTAATGTTACACCCTCTTTTGCAAAGCTTTTGCTTTACTGGCCAGGAGCCCACAAACCTTCTGGATACACTATTCAGCTGGTTTTATAGAGGTCACGTTGATCTCTAAAAAGTGTTTGATTAGCTTTATGTTCATTGTGTTTCAGCATAAAATAAGTACAGTTGATCATTTGCCCTCTTCTTTTAACTTTCAAACGATATTGATATTATCTCAGTCAAGAGGAAGGTAAAATGTATTAAAAATTAACCTGTTGCATTTATCAATGCATATAGAAGCTTAAATAAATTTCATTGAATTATTCATGGAATATTTAAATCAGTCTGGTTATACAGTGTTGGAAGTAGATCTGATATTGTTAGAGTATCGAAAGGTTACAATAGAGAAACTTACAACAATATATCTGCGGTTCAATCGGAAAATAGACGTTATATCCAGAGAATAGAAGTACCATTGCAATTAATCGCAAATTCGAGTTGAGTCTTCGAACTACTATACTCCCAACAGTTGGATACTTATAATTATAGAATGAAAGCAAACCCCTTCGTGTATTTGCTAAATTTACTCATGTAGAATTTCACGCTCAATTATTTCAAATAATATTTACAATATTTTTTATAACTATGTTATGGAAATATTGAAAAATTCATTTCACAAACCATCAGTTTTTTCAATAAATCCTGTCATTGGCATTGAAAAAGCTGCATGATCGAAATGGTCACAGCATCGATTCTGTGATATTGCATTATTGAAACACATCAAACTTTTTTTTCAAATAGTTGACTGTGAGAGTTTGAAAATTGTATTTCAAAATTTTTGTTCTCTAGAGAATATTATTAAATAATTTTAATTATCCATCTCTCACTTTTAATGATGTACTCTTCTTATCATTTTATTTTTAGATATCGTAATTAATAAAAATATTAAAGTTCATAAATTAAATGAGAATATTATTACAAATATACCATCATCTCATTAAAAATTTTATCTTTATTACAAAATTTCACCAATACAAGGAAATTCTTTTTGCAGTATAGTAAATGTAAGCTATTTACGGTGTTCAAAAAAATCTCTGGATCGTAAAAAAGGTTTATAAGCTTCTTACCTGAATATATATTGCTAAAAACATTTATAATAGTTGTGCAATTTTGTATTAGAATGAATGCATTAAAAGAGAGCTTCACTAAATAAATATATATGTATATATATAAATAAGGAAAAACTTGAATAAGATGTGATTTCTGTACTTTTTTTTGTAACTCCTTAAATAATATAATAATAATGATAATAATATCTACACGTGAGATGAAATCAAGGAATAGCTTTAAAGGAATATAGGTCAAGAGATAAAGCTCTAATCAACGCGGATGTCAGGAAGTGTCAGAGTCATTAGTAATAAAGTTGAGGAAGGAGTAGAATTAACGAAATAACCCGCGTGGGTGTTAAACGAACTACTTTTTTTCATGTCGACAGAGCATAGGTAAAAAATAAAAATAAAAACTTTTTAAACTCTCGTCGGAAGTTGTGGTTGTACGAATTGCATAATTTTCTCATCGCCAGTCATCGTATTTCAGAGGTTGTGGAGCTCTTACTTTCAGAACCACGACAAGGCTCTCATTTACACTGTTTGTCTCCGTAGGCGTGAAAGAAACGATGCGCTGGCTGGATATCACAAGACTTAAAGATAAAGCGAACTGGGAAGTTGGTAAATGTGCAGACTTTTCAAGCTTACAGAAGATGCCGCGGCATCTGATTTATTCGAGTGGTACGGATTTAAATCCAGGTTCTTGTCTTCAGGTAGGCGGTCCTCAACGTTTTTCGACTCTCTTGAGATTTTCACAAATTCCTTGTGATACTTTGGGACCGTTTGTTTTAAGAAACCTCCAGAAGTAATGGCACAAAGATGTGATTCGAATTTTTTTTCGTATTGAACATTTTGCCTTGGGCAATCAAAAAGAGATTCCTTTTACAGTTAATAAACCTCTCTCACTACTAACAAATGATGTGACAAAATATCACACTGTAAAAAAATTATTTTTTTTACAATTATAACTATAAAAAATATCTTTTTTTATAACACTTCTATTTTTTCTAATGATAACAATGCTTTATAGACAAACTGGATTATAAAAAAAAGCATATCAATTTTATGTATCTGATTCTATAGATATTGCATTTACGACATTTTTGTTCTTCAGTTATTTTTTATGAGTGCCCGTGAAAATTCTATTGGAACTATTTCTTCTATAAAATGTCCACGGTTTAAGTATTTCAAATAAAACGAACTGTTGGCAAAGTTTGTGGCATCTTTAATGGGAATTCAGTGTTAAATAAAATAAGTATAATTGTTCGAGAAAAAAATACCATTTTCTTATTCATTTTAATTTCTTGAAAAGAATTGTTTCCTTATTTGTTGGTGAAAAAATTATACTGGCAATCTCAACGTTATATGTTGCTGTTATCGATTGGAGGAGATTAAAAAATTTATTCGTTTTACTCAGGATGAAGTTTCATTTTTTTTTTTCTCGAACGTAATTTTTTTTTTTATTTCTCGGGTCACCATTGCAAAACTCAATTACTCGTATCGAAGTAGAAGGGAAGCGAGTTTAAGATTAACTTTTTCACACAAAAAAGTGACATTAAAAGAAGACATCAGTGAAATAATCTGATCTTAAAGATTAAGTTTCAATAGATAGAAAATTTTTTAAATTACTTATTATACTATCACCTCGGTATATAATAGATAATATCATTTTTAATATCGTCCTTCTCTCATTTCAAATGTTTTTATCTGAAAGCTTTTTATGAATATCTCATATTATTAATGTTTTTAGAAGTTTCTGTTTATGCTCTAATTCTCTTGAGTTTCCTGGCAAGATAACAATTCAAATATATCGGTTAATGGTTTCCTACTGGACTTATAAGTGTCACGACATCATCAAAATGGTACGGTTTGTCAACTTGAATTATTTCATCGTCGGTGAAATTCACTGAAGTTGAATGAGCAGATAATTTATTAAAAAAAAAAGTCAACTCTTTCCAAGAATAAATAAATTATATAAAATAGTAGAGAATGTTTTCGACATTTTTTCATGTTTCGTATCAAGTTTATAAAACACTAACATAACTAATTTATAATGGTTATAACGTCAGGATATTTTTAAAAAAAATAAAACTATAATTGTGATATCTACGCTCTAAACACACGTTGTACAGTTTATTGTACCACTCTAAATAAGACGAAATAGAAAAGTAAACGTAAAATTTTATTGTTGCAGTTACTGGAGCTACTTCGGGAACCTACACAACAAAAGAATCCAATTGGCATGCTATGACTGATGAAAAAAATTCCAAATTATCCGACAACACACTAAGCACTTCATCGAAACAAAAACTACTCAAGAGTTTAACCGTATTTCCGAACAAATATTATCCTAATACGCTATCGAAAGTTTCGAATTCTAATATCCGATTGGAAAGGACCAACGCAGCGACCCGTATTAACTTAGCAAACAGTCAAGTTAAAATGGCTCCATTGCTGACTTCAAGTGGAGCAATTGGAGATGACACTGGTTTACAAGTTGATGACAAGGAAAGAAAAGCAGCTGAAACTTACGTTGAAGAAGATATCGAAAAAACGATTTCACCAATCACTGATATGAGTACCAAAAAAAAAGAAAAGTTATTCCAATCACTTTCAATCCAATTGGATATTCCAGACGAAATACATCTAACGAGACTGAATGGTTCCCGTCAAACAGAAGTATTGCCAAAGGGGATTGGAAAGCAAGCAATGAGAGAATCCTCTTCGATGCTGCCCGCAGGAATCGAAAAGTATGAAAAAATCAACGCAAGGGGCCTTGATGCTACCACAAAATCTACTGCAGGAAATCCAACTCCATTCAGCTTAAGGATTCAATTGGATTCGACCGGCACAATTTCAAGCACCGACGTGACAAACCCTCTTCTTCCAGATCAACCAGTGATAGAAGACGATGTTAAAATGCTTTCCCATCCAACCGAACTACATTCGTCCACCCATTCACTTCAATTTCAATCGAAAAGCACTGAAAACCACGTGATGCTTGTACCTAGCTCTATAACAAGTCCAGCTAAGACGGAGGCAGAATATGAACATGCTTGGCTCTCCGATCAATCCAACACTTCTCTCCTCTCAACTCAACATTCAACCGTAAATCGATGGCTCCAGTTCCAAGATCACGAATCCACTTTGCCTACTACAGTGGTTGGTCCATTTCGACGGTATATGCGGGATGCCCCTAAGAACCTTTGCGAGAAGTTTGAAATAGGCGATGACGCCAAACGGGAATTCTACAGTCCCAACTACCCGCAGAATTATCCACCTTCGGTCGATTGCGTCAGAGTCCTTGAGGGTGAGTTTACGATTTGCTTTTACTCTTCTATCTGTACAAATAAAACTATCTCCTTTCAACCTTTGTAATTGATTTCAACAAATTTTACACACATTACTCTCTCAACATCGACAGATTATTTATATTAAATACAATTTTAATTACTATCAAAGATATTTCATATTTAATTATCATAATCTTCCATTGATCCCTTCATTTTCACTGGCTATAAATTCATGAATTACAACATACTAAAAGTATCGTAAATTTTTCATCGTGCTTATTAAATTGGCACTTTTCAAATTGACATCATTATTATGTTATTCATTGAAATGTACCATTCATGGTATATGTTATTGAGTATCAGTAAAATCAGAAATTTTTGGAGAGATTTTGTCGTAGTTTTACATTAAAACAATATCATGTACAGTTAAATTAATGATTCATTAGCAAACAGGATATTTTTTTTAAATAATTGAACATTTTCAAGATAACTCGACACCATTTAAGTTGTCAGATTCACTCAAATCGATGAGATAGAAAAAAAACAATTAATTGAAGCACGTTATAAAAATCATGACAATCAATAAAAATTCACATTAAAAATACAATAGAGATATCTGCTATTTATTTCACTCAGAAGATTTATAGAAAAAAGTTAATCGTGCATTCGATTCATGATATGAATTATTGTTGGTTTTTCAATAATCAACTAAATCGCATTATAAAGATGAGCTTATCAGTCAATTCGATAAGCTGTGCAGTAGTAAAAGTGCACTTTAGGGAAACAATATAACAACTTTAGCACGAGGGTTATGCCCAGCTAGTATTAATTAAATAAATTGTAAGTTATAATTTAAATTAAATTAGGCAAAAAATATTATTCACATAATTTCATTGCAATTGATATGTCTGCATGAATTTTAACTCAATATTGGTGCTTCTATGATAAAGTTTAATATTACATTTGAGAGTAAAGAAAGATATAAGCTGAAGTTTCAAGTAATAAAGGATGTTTATTATACAGATTCAAAAGCATACATGTTTTTGTTTGTTTGTAATTACGTATATACAGGTATTCAGAACGCAGCTGTGTAAATTTAACTACTCACTGCTATTACGTTCAAATTTATCTGTTCCAGTTGATATACTTGTTATTGTTAGGTATGTTCAGCTACATTTTTTTTATGAACTAAATGAACATTGAAGCCGCGTACATCCGTACTCAAAGTCAAATAGTCATTAATATTTTACTTTGCCTCCAAGGCTATACCACAAACACGATGATATATTTAAAAGAGTTTCTATGGTGTCTCTGGAATACGTTTTTTAATGAACTTAATTCTTTTAAAAAATTTTTGGTACTATAATTGAACAAAGTTTAAGATGAAATAATAAAAAAAAATCATAAAAAATTGAAGAAAAAACTGGGATATGACAAAATACGGAAAAATGAATAAGAAAAAATATCTCTAGTATTTTTATGAGATATTTTTTTTCTTTAAAGAAAAAAAAAATGGAAACTAACTTCACTTCATCAAAAATCAATAACATTTCTTATCAATCTGATAAAAAGTTTGAATCTGATAATCAAAATTTTCACTAGAGTTCTTTGCTCAGCAAATTTATTCATTTCTTTTTTTTTATTACAATTAATTTTTATCGATATCACGAATTAAATTAAATGAACAGTAGGTATAAAATTCTAACAGTTTTATTTCAAAAAATAATATGCGTCAGAGATTCAAGAGTTAATTTTTTTTTTACAGTTCTATCTTGTCATAAAATTTTACTGTTAAAAATATATCATTGAAAACTAATGCGATTCAAGGATCAGCAAATTATCCTTCGCTATGCCATTCGGCAGAACTCAGATTCATCATAACTCTCGTTGAAGTATTAAATTGCAAAAGAGACTTGTGTGTAGAAGTACTACGTGAAGCGGAAGTTAAGTAAGAGAAAAAAAAGAAAGCATAAAAAATTTTTAAAATTCAATAGGAAAATTATGCGATTATTTGTGAAATATCTATCCTTATATTTGATATGATCAGGAAATAAATAGATATTAAAACATCTCAAAACTTGATGATAAAGAAAGTGTTTTTATCAGAAGCTTCTATACACGGAAAAAACCATAACAATAAACTGGTCTAAAAGATTATTATAGTCATCAAGAGTAGGTAGTTCAGTAAAGTTAGGGTACATATAGAACGACTCAGTCTACTATCTCTCAATTTAACCCCGCAGGTCCACTCGTTGATCACATGAAGATAGAGAACGACTAAAGGGAAGTTGTCGAAAAAATTGGCAAGCTTCCCTGGAAAGTCGTAAATCACTTCTTCTTTTTCTTTTTTTTTGTTCTTTTCCTTCTGCTTCTATTGTACTTCTTCTTAGTGCAGTCGTCTATCAGCAAAAGAATTTACCAATCGATTCATCCCCTATGAGGCTATGACTCGTGTACGAAAGAAATGAGAAGACGATGTACACTCATGTTCTTTTATACATTTATTTGGAATTGCACTGTGGTTTCGATTAAATAAATATTCTCATATGTAAATATTTAATGAATACTTTTATTAACTTTTGATCAAAGTTTGAATTAAAATGAAAGACACCTTAAATTATTTCTGAAAATAAAAAATGATAAAATAAAAGATTTATTAAAATACTAATGAATGAAGTAAATGATATTAATAAATGTAAATTATTTTATTTATATTAAACTTGAATAGATATTAATTATAAATGATTTTTAATTAAAAACATTTCAAATCTTCTCAAAATTTCAATGAATGGTTGGAAATTTTATTTATTTCATAAAATTTTCCATTTTATATTTGTAAGCTTATTATATAAAGCTTGTTGTATGAAATAATGATTATATTATTTAATATTAACATTAATGGATGATGTAGTTATTATTTGAATTAAAAAATTGATTTAAATAATGAATATTATTATGATTATTTTTAATAGTATTATAAATATGTAATAATATATAAAATAAAATATGATATATTATTCAGACTTTTAAATTGGAAATGGAAAAATGGAAATGGCTATGTTCATACATAGACTTGAATTAGTAAAGTTTTTTTAGCTTTCCTAAGTTTTTGAACCAATAAAACCAGATTTGTGTTCAAAAGTTAAAGAGAAATTTGAACATAAAACTTTCTTGGACATTAGTATTATTGTTGCGTGAATAGAAGTAAGGGTTAAAAACTTTAAGAATTACAAGAAGCATTTTTTCTGAAAACAGTTGTACATCATAAAAAAGTTGAAAATACAAAATGAATAATGGCTGAAGTTGACTAAATAGATTATTGGCTCCTGTATGAATCTGAGTCAGGGTCGACGTGCTCTACTATTGGAATTTAAACCCAAAATTTCTTGGCACCTAGAAATAGTTACAAATTCAGAGAACACACGTGTCCGGTATCGTCAGTGACTTTGGAAAGTCTCGAGGTGAATAAAATGACAGCACGTTGAATTATAAAATTTCACGAATGCGCTGTTAACATATTATAGAATAGTGGAATCTAAGGAAACTGCGATAATCATTGGGAAATATCATAATCCCCCTTAATTCACGATGATAATAGGTATCAGGAATTCATGAGGAATTCGAGACCGAAACCGAGGTCGGATCGTGAGACACAGAAACGTGCTTGGCATTTGTGAATTACTTGATGAGCTGGGCGTCAATAGGTGAAGCGAGACTCTGAGTTTCTCACGTGTATATTTGATACCGTCATACACTTCAAATGTATAGGAAATATGTAATACTCAAAACAAATCAAACTTTTAAGATAACATATCTCACAATACGATGTTTTTCACGACACCATTATTAAATGGTCTAGTTCGAAATAAAGCCAACCTGTGAAATTTATATCAGTGAATGAGATATGTGAAGCTCCTTTTGCAGCAATTAATTAAAAATATAATTAATATACTGAAAGTGGGAGCAACTGCGAGTCTTGTGAAAGGAATTTGATTGAATTGCATATTGATCGGGTAACTTGAAACGGTTGGGGTAATTGAAATCCTTGCAATGGAAGATATTGCATCGAATTGGGATATTTAAGGTTTCTACGTGCTTGTGATTTTATAAAATGTTTAGATAAGATCTGCAATGTTTGGTAATGAATAGTAGTGACGCTATGAAATTACAAATAGCCATGAAAATAGAACACTATTAATAGCTAGTATGCAGAGAAAGAATAAGAATGGAAGCATTTAAATTCATTTCTAAATTTAATTTGTTATTTAAGAGTACAAGAGAATTGGAATTACTTGTGCATCATATTTTTAGTGCCATTGATTGAAGCATCTAAATGATCTCATTCTATGAAAATATTATTTCATGTCGACATTTCATAAAAGATTTTATGATTTAGTTTAACTTGCAATCATACACTAATGCATCTTTTAACTCATCAATAAAAAAAAAAATTCTATTAATAAAATAACAGCAGCTTTTTTATATTGTATTTTAAATCAAATCTTGATAAAGACTGTGTCCATCTGTTACTATCAATCTTCTCACTAGTTTATAACCCCATGACGTGAGTTGTTTTATTTAAAAATTTTCATTATTCACTATTTTTTGTAACTTGTTTAAATACAATGTTTAAAACTCGCTAAAATACTATTAAGTGTTTAATCTGATTAAAGTTACCACTATGATAATGATGTATTGTCTTGACAGATAGGTTCACTGAACTTTCTAAAGTGAAATTAGTTGAAACAACTTTATAATTACCATAATAATTGTCATTATTTATTATAAAAAGTTTTAATTAAAAAGGACATTTCAAATCGAATGAATTATCTTTAAAGAATAAAAATAATTTTAGAAATACAAATTCTAAGTGTTTTAATAAGTAAATCAAAAACCAATACAATTTTTCTTTTCTGATAAAAAATGTGTTTATTTATTTATAATCAAAATAAAATACATTTATGCATCTGTTGACATTAAAAATTATTTCATTAAAGTAAAGTATTTTAAGGAGACT